GTTACGGCCAGTTATTTCTGGAGAAAGATGGTTCTTTTGTTCTTTCGCTCTTTTTTCTATATATCACTCGGGGGACAAGCCACGTTGCCTGGCCCCACGGGAACACGCTGCCAACAAGTCAGGGAGGTCTAGGCAAGCAGATCGGCCAAGTAACAAGAAAGACACGTGATGAATTTTAAACCATGTGGGCCATAGATATAACAAGACCCATATGAAACAAGACACAGCAAAGCCCCCAATGCTTGGGTCCATCGGATCCCCAGGGAAGACAACAGAAACCATAAAGCAAATCTCCCCTCCCCCAAAAAAACCCCTGCAATGGTGTGGAAAGTGCCATTTTATGAGTTCATTACCTGACTGATAACAGTTAATGAAAAATCCCCCATAGCCACCATGGGGCTTCCATTTAAAAAGTGAAGACAAGACAGAGTTACGGCCATCGGATTGTCCTCAGTTCGACCACCTGGGGCCCTGTGTCCTTGGGCTGGAAGGAGAACATAATGTGCTGGTACCCACAGGCCACACTGAACCATGGGTGACAGAGACCATCAGGGTGCTAATGATCCAGAAGACTGAGTCCGGAGCTGGGAAGGAGTACCCGGTGGCATTTCTCTTCCACACTGCCTTCCCAAGTGACCCCTGCAAATGGACAGCTGTCCAGACTGCTCCCCTTGGCAGATATCCTGCAATGGCTACCTGTGGTACCAGTTCCAATCCCATAGACCTCTTCAAGGCTCTTGAGATGGGTCCTTTGTCACAGGAGTTTAGGCTGTGCCCTTCCTTACAAGCTTGCTCCAGCTCTCACACCCCTTCCGAGGTAGTGGTGGCGTAAGTAAGAACGGTCCCTATCAGTTCATATATTCGAATGCATAGTCACCAGGGAGTGGGACTCTTTGAAAGGATTAGAAGGATTAGGAGGTGTGGCCTTGTTGGAGGACTATGCCAGTGGTGTCAAAAGTCCATGCCAGACCCAGTCAGTCTTTCTGCTGCCTGCAGATCCAGATGTAGAACTCTAAGCTATTTTTTTAGCACCATGTCTGCCTGGGTGCCACCATTCTCCTCACCACAACGATAATGGTCTGAACCTCTGAAACTGTAAGCAAGGCCCCAATTAAATCCTAGCTTTTAGAAGAGTTGCCTTGGTCATGGTGTTGTGTTACACAGCAACAGAACTGTGAATAAAACAGAGGTCCACCGGCCTCTTGCACCTCAGTTCCAGCCCAGCATCACCTCTCAGAAGGCAGCAGAATGCCCCCCCAAGCTGCCACAGCCCAAATTTGCCATGCTTCTACTGCTGCAGGTCAATCTGGGAGAGACTGGGTCTTCTCCACAACTATCACCCTATCAGACACAGAGAGAGAACCTGCTGTTGGTGCTTGTAATTTAGTCTGGCCGAACACTTAGGAGTCCAGACAAGGGATGTGCATGGCGTGGCCAGCTCTTTCTGGCTGCCCACACTGCCAACTTTAGTAGCATTTCAGGGTGTGAACCACCCAGGGGCTACAATCCCACACTAATCATTGGTATGGGCTGCTCCCATTGGAAGAAACACATTCCCATGGGGCCCACACACATCCAGCCATTTATGGTGAGAAGGATCCACACTGCAGTTTTGTAGGTAATAATAACAAATGGTGGCTTTGGACAGAGATGAAAGCAAATACAAATAAAGGAAAGATCCGTGGTGTTTTCCCGTTATTACCGGACATCAGGACGGCCTGCCTGGAAACCTAAGACACGCTAGTCTCTCCCTCTTTTTGTCTTTCAAACATCATGGGCCCTCAGACAATCTGAAGCGGTCTCTTGGTTACAAGGGGGAGGGGGTTGGGAGCGCAGGTCAGGTAGATTTATTGTTTCCAGATGTTGGCAACTCTGAGATTTGCTGGAGGATTTCAGAGAGCGACACAGGGCAGCATCAGGGTGGGCTGAACAGGAGAGAGAGAGAAAGCCACAGGAGTGGGGATGCCAACCACAGTCACAGGACAGAACCGCACTCGTTACCTCAGGGGACAGGCGACAGGCCCTTCACCACAGCTGTGCAGCCTCAGGAGAAAGTGGACAGGTTTGCTTTCAGCTAAGGGGCGGTCGCGGTCTTCCTACTGCAGACCCGTGGCAAGCCTGTGCAGACAGCTGCAACACTAGCAAACGAAGATGCGGCTGCCTCCTGACAGTGTGAGCAGACAGTCACTACTTTGGGGTTCTACCACGCAATCTTTACTGCAACAAAGCCGTGTGTCCGCAGAGACCCTTGCAGCCCCTGAAGAAAAAGAACTCCCCCGGCTGGAAGTTTTATTTGGAACCATCCATTTGATTTATAGCAACATCTGCCACACGGAACTAACACAGAAGCAGAAGTAAGGGAGAAAGCTTCGGGGATGTCTTGTTTTCAGCTGGGGAGCCGCTGACCTCCAGCAGTTTACAATGCGCCAGGCTTCCACAAGGAGCAGGTATGGCAGAAACAAAGAACAGAAAATACCCAAACATCTCTATGGGCTAAGAACCCCCGTAACAACGCTCTTTCACCAGAACAAAAAACATGTCCCTCCCTCTTGTTGATCCGATTTCATGCCACGAATCACTGAACACTATGGCAGGCGCCTTTTCCGTGTCGTTTGTTACCCTAACAATAACAGCTACAGACACCAGCAGACTACATAGAATAGTAAGTGAGGATGGGGGGAAAGAGAACATCCATGCATAAAAAGCTGCTAGCATATTGATAGCCATAAGCTTGCAATATAATTAAGATTTTTCATTAATTCATAAGAAAGCAAAATACTCTTTATTTACTATTATAGGTACATAACATATTTAAAAATGAAACTTACTTTTTATTTAGGAGGCTGAGGTTTGGAATATTTATGGATTTTGCTTCATTTTTGTTTCTCCATGGGTTATGGGTGTGTGGTATGTGGATACATGTTCACATGTGTGGGGGTTGATGTTGGCTGTCTCCCTAATCACTCTCAGGTTGGGTCTCTCCCTGAGCCCAAACCTTGCAAATTTGTCTAGTCTAGCTAGCCATCTTGTCCCAGAAATCGTGTCTCCTCCTCAGATGCTCTGGGATTACAGGCAGTCACCAGACACCCCAGTTTTTATGTAGGTGTGGAGGATCTAAACCCTGGTCCTGCTTTAATCACTGAGCCACTTCCCAGCCCATTTTGTTTTGTTTTGCTTTGTTTTTTTGGAAACAATGTCTTACCATACACAGTCCCAGCTGCCTTGAATTGTGATATTCCTGCCTTTACCTCCCAAGAGCTAGGATTGAAGGCATGCACCACTGTGCCTGGCTAGTAGATTTTTTTTTTTTTTTGGAGACCATCTGAATAAAATCAGAAGGTTACTATGGCAATCTTATTTCTTGCTCTTTTGCTATTTGCTTGATCTTATCACTTTCAGAATAGAGCAAGCCTTCCAAGATTTACAAGTAGGCGTGTGCTAATAAATATAGCAGCAGGACTAAACAGGCTGACACAAATGCTGGACTAAACAGGCTGACATGAATGCTGGTCAATGGCCACAGCTAGAGACTTCCTCTCGAATGCAGGCAAGGTGAGATGCCAGATGCTGACCCCAAGTCAATTTCTTTGCATGAAAGCTCATATGGCAACATCACAGAAAGTCCAAAATATTCATATGAAAAAGAACTACTATTCCTACAAAACTGAATGCCTTGGAGAGACAAATGAAAAGTGGGAAGCTGAAAACAGCCGCTGCCAAATTAGGTGCAGGTGAATCAACTCAAACAAAAAACAAACTAGCCAGGCAGTGGTGGTGCACCCCTTTAAACCCAGCACTCGGGAGGCAGAGGCAGGCGGATCTCTGGGAGTTGGAGGGCAGCCTGTTGTACAGACCGAGTTCCAGGACAGGCTCCAAAGCTATAGAGAAACCCTGTCTCAAAAAACCAAAAGCAAACAACCCCCCCCCCCCCCCCCGCCTAAATCCAACTAGGGAGTCCAGCAGGGGCATGGAAAACATGGAAAGGGGCATTAAAAAAACCTAGAGAATCTGGGACTGAGATTTCTTTGTCTTTATCCAAAGAGAAACGAATCAGGACCAGCAGGTGACACAGAGGATGTCACCTTTTAGAGCCCCTCTCAGTGGACAACCACTCAGAGCAACAACAAAGAGCTAGGCTATGCTGGAAGACTAGAGTCCATCATAATATAGAAGTTTAAAACATGTATGACCAATTTTTAATGATTCAAGGGGCACTGGAGAGATGGAGAGATGGTTATGATCACTTGCTCATCTTCCAGAGGACCAGAGTTTGGTTCCCAGCACCCACACTGGGTGGCTTACAAGCACCTCTAATTCCAGCTCGGGAGAATCCACCATCCTCCTCTGATCTCTTCAGGTGTGCACATGTGCACACACACACACGTGCACACACACACGTGCACACACACACACGCACACACACACATGCACACACACACGTGCACACACACACGTGCACACACACATGCACACACACATGCACACACACATGCACACACACACACGTGCACACACATACACACGCTCTCTCTCTCACACACACTCTCTGTCTCTCTCACACACACACTCTCTCATACACACAAATGGGTTTCCAACACGGACAGAAAGAAACTAGGAGAGCCGTCTAGTGGATCTGTGTATGAGGAAAGACACACAGATCTGAGGGAACCTGCATGGCCACTGCTCTTTGCAAACAAAAATAGCCAGAGTGAACGAATCACAACCCATTCCTAGAATGAATTGATCTTCTACAGAGTCCCTCAACGTTAAAATCACAGTGGATCCCAGGCTCACTTCGCATCTGTCTTATAGGTCCTGTTCTTGGAATACATTCCTAACACAGAGAACTGGGGCTACGGTAAACAGACATGAAGACAGAGGACAGCCCCCACTAGACCGAAGCGGTCTTTCAGTGGCCCTCCCTTGTCCTTCAGCATCCAAGTCTGGACTTGTTTCTGCCCCATGAAGATGCTCGTGCGGACACCGGAGTCGGCGCTTACCTTCTGCCGCTGCTGTATGTTGGCCACCGTGTCGGGCTGGAAATCCAGCTTGTCTGTGCGGCACAGCTTCCAGTAGAGGATGACGACAATCACGGTGACCACTAGCACTGGGATGACCACGCCCACCACGACCCATAGGTTGCTGCTCTGGGACTCTGGGGATGGCCTCTTCACTCTGTCCACAGCTGCAGATGAGCAGAAGAGGGAGAAAGGTTCTCAGCAATGTGCCCTTCGTTCATCTGCTGGACGGAACGTGCCTTCCTCTGAGAGACCTGAGGCTCATCACACAGCTCAAGAGATGACAGTACCCAGGCATATTTGAATGTTGCACAAAGAACATACCAGGGATCACAATGACACACATGACGTGCCAGAGGACAAAAGCTTGGTTGATTCTAGTCTCCCAGTGTTAAGTTTATTCTTCCTACTCTATAACATCTCATAAAATGGTTCCCTTCAAATGTGCTCACGATACAGCTGTAACCACCATATCCAACAGAGCGGGCATCACCTCCCAGGTCTCTGGACAGAACACGAGCTGGAACCTGGAGACCTGGGAGAAGGAAGCTCTTCCCCGTTCTACCAACTCACTTCTCTCTCTGTCCTTAACTACAAATGTTTACTAACGGTGCCAGACACCACTCTAAAGGCAAGATGTGCCGATGAATAAGCAGACGAAACCCTTCAAGGGCACACTGGCTCTAGTGCTGGAAGGGAAAGCCACCAAGGAGTGAATCCCCAGATAAAGGCATCTGCTAATAGTGCTATCTGCCTGCGGAAACAGCCAATAAGTACTGTTGTGGAATAATCTTTTTGTATAGCACACAGATGAACAGAAATGGGTTCATTTAAGTTATAAGCGCTAGAGAGACAAGCCCAAGCTATAGGCCAAGCTTTGATAATAATTAATAATAAGTTTCTGTGTCATTATTGGGCAACCCATGGTTCCAGCAAAAATGTCTGACTATAAGTTACAGGACCACAACAAAGACAAGTGGGCCGTGTCCACCTCAGCACCTGAAAACATGACAGAGACGGGGTTGTCCACAGCTGCACTTAACACAGCGGCCATGGTGGAGAAGCCCAAAGCCGCCAACACACAGATGGATAAACACAATGTGGTACATCCACCCAGCAGAATACTATCCAGCGTTGGAACAGGAAGTGGGGTACTGTGGAGACGGCTCTCTGTGTAAGGACCTGAATTCAGACCCCTAGTGCCCATGTCAAAGAGGTGCATGGTCACAGTCCTACCTGCAACCCCAGCACCATGTGGGGCACAGACAGGAGGATGGCTGGGCTGTGGTCGCCAGCCTAGCTCCAGGTTCAGTGAGAGACCCTGTCTCAAAGGAACTGGGTAGGGAGTGACAGAGTAGGACCCCTGTCTCACACAAACACAGAAGAGAAAAGAAGACAAAAAAGGACTCTCAAAATAGCCGCAACAGGAATGACCTTTGAAAACATGCCATCTGGGAGACACCAGACACATTCCTAGAACACCTAGAACAGTCAGATTTACAGAGAAAGAAAAGAGTGGCTACCAGGCCTGAGGGGCACAACCCAGCGGGCAGAGCGTCTGCACTCACCAGGCCTGAGGGGCACAACCCAGTGGGCAGAGCGTCTGCACTCACCAGGCCTGAGGGGCACAACCCAGCAGGCAGAGTCTGTACTCACCAGGCCTGAGAGGCACAACCCAGTGGGCAAAGCGTTTGCACTCACCAGGCCTGAGGGGCACAACCCAGAGGGCAGAGCGTTTGCACTCACCAGGCCTGAGGGGCACAACCCAGTGGGCAGAGCGTCTGCACTCACCAGGCCTGAGGGGCACAACCCAGTGGGCAGAGCGTCTACACTCACCAGGCCTGAGGGGCACAACCCAATGGGCAGAGCGTCCAACTCACCAGGCCTGAGGGGCACAACCCAATGGGCAGAATGTCTATACTCAGTGACAAGCTCTGGAAACAAAGGGAGGAGGAGGCCACAAGCACCAAGCAGAGTCAATTCCACTCGCTCAGACATGTCAAGATTACACATGTGATTTTTCTTTAGTTTTTGAGATTTTAATTACATAATTTCTTCTTCCCTTTTCCCTCCAATACACGTATTTACCAATCTTCCCTTAAAGAGGACTCTTGGGTTTAACTAAAGGGGGTGTTTGCTAGGAAACTGAAGTCTGAACATGGGATTTTGGGGTATTGTCTTCCTAACCTGTGACCTTCTTTGAACCCCTGGAACATGGATCTTAATGGAAACTTCTTTATTAAAGGTAACAGGTATCGATTATTAGACGACATTGGAATGAGCTGTATCCTCTGTAACTGCATGTCTGCACTCACAGCGGCCTCTCACCTTTCACGGCTCAGATGACCCTGCATGAGCCCTTCTGCTCCTTCCCCGCTCCTATTTCCTTCGCTAGCTGATCCTTTGCCCTGTGTCCTCTTCGCTCCGTGCTGATCCTCTGAAGCTCCTGGGAGCTCAGAGCTTCTCCCACTCAGACCCAGTCTCGAAACCCAAATGTTCCTCCTGTCCCCCCTCACACCCCTGCCTCCCTGTGACAACACTCTTTGTTTCAAAAATGGTGCCCCGCTGTTCTCCTAAAATGCCCTTTGCACATCAAAGACTAGTGTTAGATGCTGTATAACCCTTCCTCTCTGTTCACCCCAGCTTCCAAGCCCTTTCTTTTCAAACACCCCTAAATTGTGACTGGCAGGGACTAAGGCCTGAGCTCCCTCCCATCTCAGGAGCTAATACCTCTTCTAGGATCAAAATATGTCTGCTCAGAGATGGAGCAACAACACTAAAGATTCATTATTTATTGTTACTTCATATATACGGGAGCTTTGCCCGCATGTATGTCCGTGTACCACATGGGGGCAGTACACTCGGAGGTCAGAAGAGGGTGTCAGAGCCCCTAGAACTGGACTTACACGGGGCGGTAAGCTGCCATTTGGGGGCTGCGTATCCATCCCAAGTCCTCGGGAAGAGCAGTCAGTGCCCTTAGCCACTGAGCCCTCTCTCCACCCCCAGTGAAAAGTCGTAGAGAAGTTTGTATTTAACACTGAGAGAACGAAGACTGGATTTTACAATGTGGCCTGGGTGGAATTCACACTAATTGCTTGTTGTGCCCGAGAACAAGCAATAGCATGGACGTGGTGACAGCTCAGCGGAGGAGCTGAGGACTGATATTCCTCTTAGCGCTAATCTAGGAAAACCACAGAGAGGCATAGACAGCGTCCTCAAGGCCCCTTTACTGGCCCTGCTAGGAAGTGAGGCTTCTTCTACCAACCCTGAAATCCCAGGATGCTTGCGTGGATGGCCCTGAGCAGTCCTCAGGTCAGGTGATGGAGACAAGAGCAGGGTTAAACAAGCTTTCCATGAGAAGAGTGAAGCACACCCGAGAAGGGAAGGTGGACTGGTCAGACGGACATGACCGCCCAATCTTTGCCCTCAGGGCTTTCATTGAGAGTTAGATAGACTCAGGATGACACTGTTCCTAGGTGAGGACCCAGGGCCCTGTGTGTGTGGAAACCAGGCTGGGTCTTTTCGGGTCCTTGTACATACATGTTTGGTATGCAAAGATGTGTCAGGAGCATGCATGTTTGGTATGGGAAGCTGTGTCAGGAAGAATGATACAGGCATGTTGTATAAGAAGCCACTGTGAGTGCTGGCTAAGCTCAGAAGCCCCACGGTATGCATACAGGCCCAGAACCCCTGAACAGGCTCACACAGTAGTCACCTGAACTTGTTGAGGGGTTTCAGGGCATGTGTGTGGTCCATGTCAGGATGGGCGCTTCAGAGGGAAGAAACGGCTCACCCAGCCCATGTCACTGCGATCAGTCTGCCTGCTCTCATCCCTTCTTCCTGCCTTCGGGTTATCTCTGGCTCTGGGGCCAGCCAGAAGCTACCTGTGGATTTCTCATTTTTCGATCAAGCCAGCACTGGTTAATCCTGTAACTCTGGTGAGTGACAAGCACTTGGAGGACTGTTGACTTGCCTGCTGATAGATAGGCCAGTGTTTGAAAATCTGCACCCCCGCCATTTCCCAGGTGCCTGTATCCTCAGCATGGAGGGAGGCGGCTCTCTCAGCATCAGCCTCCGGCTCTGGATACAGTGCTAGGAAGTGCTTTTTTATTATTTCCTCACTGATCTGAAACAGACCCCACTTACGCAGCCATTTCCCAAGCACACCAAACAGCCTACTAAAGGTATGACGTCACCTCTCCCGCCATGGTCCACCAAACGAAGGAAGTGCACACAGCAGCCCTCACACCGGTTAGTCTCCAGGGACAGGGACTGATTTCACCAAAGGGTAATTTCAAAGGTATTGTTTAAAAGCTGGGCTGGAGGCACACCTCAGGGGTTAAGAGCACTTGCTGCTCTTCCTGTTGACTTGGGTTTGGCTCTTAGCACCCACATGGTGGTACATGACCCTCTATAACTTCAGTCTCAGTGGATGTAATGCCCTCTTCTGACCTCTGTGGGCACTGGACATAGGTGGTACACAGATATCTATACAGGCAAAACACCGGTACACATAAAATTAAAATCTAAAAGAACAAGAGTTTAAAGCTGCACTGTTGACTGTCAGGGAGAGCAGGGTGCCACAGCTTAGAGCTGATATAACGGGGCTGCAATGCTCCAGAAGCCGGACCTGAAGGACATGAAGACATAAAGTGGAAGATGCCTGGGGGTGGGCGGCCTCCATGTGGACTGTCTTCCTCTATATGGCTCTGCCAGAGTCACTCCATCTACCTGAGAGATGTGTTTATTCTTAGTTTATGGATATGAGTGTTTGGTAGAAGTAGGAGTGCACCCTGTGTGTTTGATGCAGAAGCCAGAGGAGGGCGTCAGGTCCCCCGGACCTGGAATTGTGCCGGTCATGAGCTGCCATGTGAGGGCCGGGAACTGCAAAAGCTGCCACTGAGCCATCTCTCCAGCACCGTCACTCCACTTAGAGGAAAGAAACAGAACAGTATGTGAAGACCGAGAGTCACTCGGAAGGCATGTTACGACGAAGCTGGCTACAGTTTCTCCCCATCTGCCAATGGTTTCATCCGGAAAGTGTAAGTGACGTGAGTGGACAAGCTAGGCTGCAGTAACCGACCTTCATAATGAAGCACAAAGCTACCTGAGAAGAACAAAAACATGTCTTGTGGTCCTAGCACGCCGGTGACGCCTGGCCTCTGCGAGTGTTGATGGGACTGTAAATTATACCATTTTCTCTCAGGCGTTAATTACAAGATTATGTCTGAAATGGGACTGTCTCAGTGGTCATCTCTGATTGCGTCTTTACATCTGCCCGGCGTGTATTTGTGTATTTTTCCCATTTTACGGACATCAGCACACATCCACAATGACGTCTAAGCATGGTCCATCAGTCTGTGTTTTTAATAAGCATACTGATGAAGTAAAAAAAAAAAAGCACTGTCTCCTACCTGTCCTCAGTAAGTTCTTCAGGGTTCCCTGATGTAAAAGACATCTGCCTATCCCTCTACTTCGGGAGCAGGTTTGCCCACACGCTACCAAGGACTGCTCTGAATAACAGAGGAAACACCCACACCAAGACAGCAGTCCAACTTGTCAGATTGTATTTGGAGAGTTACAGTCTCCATGCTGTTCCCTATTCTTTATTTTAAATACACACCCCAAATCTGGCAGTTGGAAAAGAGGTACTAAGAGCAAGCATTGCCAAAGGGCAGGGCCAAGCACCTTCCAACAATAATAAGAAATATCAAACGCATCTTTCTAATCGTAGAGCGGTGTGAGGTGAGGGTGAGGGAGAAACAGGATCAAGAAGAGGGTAAGGATCAAGGGATTCCTTTGTGTTAAAAGGCCCCGAAGGAAGCCAGACAGCCTAGAGGGCACCTCCCAGCTTCCTGAGTGACTCACTGGCCCCACCAACATGCAGGGTGTGACATGGAAGATTTTGGAATAAAAACAGAATAGGTGCATTATTTTACCTAAGACAGTTTTGGAAATGAAAACTGGCATAGGGGTAGAGGAAAGGATGTTCGTGTTGCTATAAGGTCCTATGACTCACTAGTAACTCCACGAATATGAGGTGTGAGGTAGGAAAAACAACAGCAATGGCCACAGTCACACCGATGGAAATAAAAATAAAGGAGTTTTCAGCAAACGAAGGACAAATAAAGTCACACAGGCCTGATGTCCTGAGCTGGGACCCCAGAACCCCATAAATATGGAAGGAAAGAACTGAGTCTACAAAGTTGTCCTCTGATCTCCACAAATATACCATGGCAGGTATACAAATGCATGCATGCACGCACATTCGCACAGTGCATATTTTATAATTTATAATAAATAAATTTAAGAAAAATACAAGAAAGCCTCAGCAAATGGACATCAACAACCAGCTTCTTCCATAAACACACTTCAGGACAAGGTTTTAAGACATAAACCCACCACACACAGGTCAGTGCTGTAGTTCAGACCTCTCTATCAGAGTACAAGTTGCTTTGGCCTCCAGCATGGCTGGCAGGATGGGACTCTTGGACTTACGCTGGGCAATGGCGCCTTGAATCCGGTACCCCAAGATGATCGCTGCCCTCTGGAGATCGACCTTGTTGATCAGGTCTGAAGACTCGGTTGCACTAAGTCTCTCTCCATCTTGATTCTCCACAAAGTAGATGAGCTGTACTGGATTGTCATCTCCCTCCAGCCTGGACACATTTACCACCTGAGACAGACAGAGTCCATCAGCATCGGGAAAGTTCACAGTGCCAGCTGCCCCTTCTCAGCGCACTCAGTCCCTAGTGTGTGACTTGGGATTTGTCCCAGCCCTCTTAAAAAGCTCATGGCCACTTCTGGAGACCCCGAATCTCCCTACTCTCCTCTGGGGGAGACAGAGCTACAGTGAAAGGCCCTCTGTGTAGAATAGCAACTGTACCTTGTTTTGTTTTAGTGTGTTCTTTGAGACAAAGGGACTCAGAGAGTGCACAGAACACCACCAGACAGGATGGAATTGTAACCGACAACCTTCAACAAACTCACCATGTCATGGGAGTGACCTGTGTGCCTCCCCTTTATATAAAAAAGTCTGGAAATTCTTCTCATTGAAATTGCATTCTCAGCGGTAGCCACGTCTGTTAAAGACTCCGAAAGCTGTCCATTCTAGAAGGAGCCATGGGAAGGTCTAACTTCAGCATTCTTTCTGGATGACGGCTAATCAGATTTATATCGGGAACCACAACATAAAAGGTATCTCTCCAAGTCAACCACTTGGGTGACGAAAAGTATGTGTTTATTATAAAAATTATGTGGCCCAATGAAGAAATTTTGAAAAACACATGCAAAAAAAAAAAAACCATAAAGAAGAAAGTGAAACCCTCTTGAAAATTCAACCAATTATAGAAAGCCTCTCTGAAGAGTCAGCACCCTCCCCTTTCCTTCCCTGTATTAGTTCAGGACTGTCCTTCATGTTCTTCTCTCCAGCTTCTTCAGAGCACATTTCACAGTACTGATTTTTTAAATTGCTGGAGAATATTCCAATACATAAAGATCTACTCTTTACCCACTCCCTAATTCCGAGACAGTTACGTTGGTTCAATATCTGTTAACTCTTTTGTTAATTGGAAGGAGGTTGGAAATAAGGTCTCACTCTGGACCCTTGGCAGACCTGGAACTCACTACGTAGACCAGGCTGACCCCTAACTCTTAGCCTCATCAGCATCTACCTCCCTAGTGCTGAGATTAACAGCATGCACCACCATGCCTGGTTCTTTTATTAATTGTTAAAACTGCACTTATTTGTGTGTGTGCGTGTGTGTGTGTGTGTGTGTGTGTGTGTGGGCACACGTGTCCCTCCTAGTACAGAGGACAACTTGCAGGAGTTGCTCAAACTCAGGTCCAGACTTGGTAGCAAGAGCCATCTCACTAGCCCATGTTCAGTGTTTCCGTTTTCATCCACAAAGTTCAGGTGAAGAGCCTTGTACTTTTGTTTACAATGCCTTTCGCAGAGACCAGAAACAGAGCATGGCCTCCGGGCAATCTGTCAGGTGACGTGGGTCTGAGGAGGCTTGGTGACCTTCCACAGAAGTGAGGCTCCTATCTGAAGAGGCTTAAGTATCCAGCGTGGGATCTGATCACCCAGGTTTCGGGTGCTCTGCAACCTCTCTCTGCACTCAGCCCTTGTGAAGCCACAGGCTACTAAATAACGCAAGGCCTTCACAATTCATTTTCATATTTATTTTGTTGTATGCTTATTTAATGAATGGACATTTATTAGTGCATTTTTTTCCTTTTTATTTATTGGGTTTTTTTTAAGTTCTTAGTATTTTGGGTTGGAGAGATGGTTCAGCGGTTTATAGCATGTACTGCTGAGATCTGAGTTCAAATCGCTGAACCCCCATCGGAAGGCTCCCAGCCAACTGCAACTCCATCCTCAGAGGCATCCAACACCTCTGACCTCCACAGACACCTGCGCTCACACGCACACACCCGTGCACACATATGCATAATTAAAAATAACAAAAATAAACATCTAAAATCTTAGTCCTTTGTAAAGTCCCCTGGTGTGACTGTGTCTGGCAAGGAAACCATTTTGGGAGCCTAAGAACCATGTTTCTGGGTGGGGAACAGGAAGCAAGGCTGAGGGGGACACATGTGGTGAAGGTGCTGGAAGACAAGGACACTAATTCTAGGCAAAACTGGCACCCTGACCTACCCAGGTCAATCTCATATCTTGTTCTCACAGCCCCTGCCCCGCCCACCAGTCCCCCTTCACTGCTGGGTTTCATCCTAGTTCTGAGTTCCTGCAATGGTCTATGAACCCCATTTTCTGTGATGCTCCCAGCCTGTAACTGACTGGCAATGACAGAAATCCACACCAGTCGCACAGAGACAGGAATTAAACAGCAGCTCCACCCCCAAAGTTCTGTGACTATGTGTGTAAAAAATAGGTCATTTTCCAACTCAAACAGATCTGTGGCCTGCCTGCCCGCTCCCAGAGAGAAGACAATTTGGGGCACAGGCTGGCAGGAGGTGGGGGAAAATGAGATTCTGAACAGAGGGCAGAAAATGCCCTCCGTCTGCTAGGGCTCTCCCAGATCACCGATTCAGTTCTAAAATGCCACCAGAACCATTAAATAAGTTCAGCTGTTGGTGATTTTAAAACTGTGCTTCAAAAAACAAAGCCTTATGATGATACAGGAACCCACTGTAAATTTTCTACCACACCCCCTGCAATCCTGGGCAAGGCCAACGAATTGCTAAGGTTTCTGTCTGGACTCCAAGTGACGCACAAGGCTGCCGTGTTCATCTGAACAATCAATTCACACCAGACTTTTCCATTTGCACGAGAATCGCAGATTCCCAGGGGCTTTTCTTCTGCCCACCACTCTCCTTCGGTGAGTACCTGCACCACACTGTTGCCAGCAGCCACCGTGGCCCTGCGCCACAGTCTTCTCCTGGTGGGCACCTCGCTGAGCAGCTGGGCCAGTTTGCGCTCCATCTCGGCTGGAAACACTTCGTTATGGAGCTGCTTCTCCACTACGCCCAGGAGGACTGTGTTCAACAAGAAAGCAAGCCCTCAGAGCAAGTCAGCACACAGGAGCAAACACGGGGGGTGGGGGACAACGACAGGGTGTGTGCACCTGTGCAGAAGTCCCACACAAGACTACCACAAAACACTAACTACTAGGCAGGAGGCATAAAGAGGGGAACTAGATGGGAACAGAGTAAAGAGCCCTGGCAGTGGCTGGAGTCCATGGCAAACTAAAGGCGGAAGGAACTCAGCAGTGGAAGCTCTGAGCACAGCGTCTCACAAGATCAAAGAAACCCTGTTGGTATGCTCCACCTCAAACTTCAGGATAGAATGAGTTCTTATCTTGTCTCTGGATAGACGTCCACTCTCCCTTGAAGAGGGGGGAATCTGCCTGCTTCTTGCTATCTGTATCTGACAAAGGCATCTAAACAGACAAACAGCTTATCCTCCACTTGACGGGGAAACAGACTTTCAGCCAAACTTGTTTCAACACTCCCTGAGGTCCAACATTAAGGAAGTCACTTCAACACTCCCAAGGTCTGGAAAATGGAATCTAAGCACCAAGCAAAGCGCTGAGCCCCACACAAGGCTTCAGAGCCCATAAGTGGTGACTGCGTAGACACCCTCTTTCCTCATGCTGCTTGCACACTGGGGCCTGGGACTCTCAGAATTCAGAGACCAGGTTAGAGAGCCTTGCACTGAAATGCCATGTCCTCAGTCTAAACACAAGGCACTATCTGTGGACACACCGACCTGGATGTGTCCAAGTCTGTCTAAATACCTGACCTTGGTCCCCAAACTACTGTATTCATCTAGCAATACTTTCAGGAAAAAATATATGCTTGCTTCTCAGCTTCATCCTACCTCAGGTCAGGAGACTACAGATTCCCCGTAGATCCCGCCCTGGTCTTGATGCATGAATTTTAAAGATGCCCTTTCTGTGCCATAACTCAGTGGGACACATTCCCAAAGTCCAAACTGAATCCCTTTTCTCATTCATTCGCTGCCAGGAATTTAAAGTACATCTTGTCCTCAATTTGGGAATCAGGAAGAGTGCATCATTCGCCACATGCCATCCCAGACTTCTTACCGAACAGTTCTCCAAACGTTACATCAATCAAACATACCTGTTCTGACCCAGGAGGACTTCAGTAACTGAGACAGGTTGAGCTGTGGGTACTGGAAGGCTACAGAAAGGGAAAAGTTGGAGAGGGAGGAAAGACAGTGAGAAGCATGTTTCCACTCAGGAAGGCAAGTGTTCTAGGAGCGTGGGGTAAATCACAACACATCACCCTTCCTAGACTATAGCACTCCTCGAGACCCCAGACCCCAGAAGCATGAAGACAGAGGGCCACCAGGTTCTGAGGCCCTAGGAGAGGGAAGGACCACGGCATCACACAAGCCACTGACACGTCTCCTGTGACTGTTGTTCTCAAGCAAAGCATCCGCAAGCTGTGTGTGTCAGTGCCAGGAGCTCTCTTGGCAATGTCTCAGGGTAAAGTGAAGCGCTGTCTACCCTGCAGGGAACTGTCTCTGCTTGTACCCCTGCTTGTTAGTTTAGCAGTATGTGCATATACTGTACAAAAGCCAAAATTGTTGTATACAAATAATTTCATATCTTTTATGGTTTATTAATTTTGGTTTCTCTGTGTAGCCTTGGCTGCCCTGGAACTCGCTCTGTAGACCAGGCTGGTCTAGAACTCACAGAGATCCACCTGCCTCTGCTTTCCGAGTGCTGCAATTAAAGATGTGTGCCACCACCACCCAGTTTTATGGTTTATTTTTAATCATGTGTGTTTGTGTGTATTTGTACACATGTAGAGTGTAGGTGCCGACAGAGGCCAGAAGGGGCTGTCATAGCGCCTAGACTACTCAAGAACACTATGTACACGCGCTAATCACTAAGTCATGTCTACAGCCCCCAACTTTCGCATTTTATACTTTTAAAGTTCACTCTTTCTAGCATCCAGTTTCATGGGTTTGGGAAAAATGTATCATTGTGTAAGAATCACCAAGTCAGGACCCAGGACGTTTCATTCACTAACACCGTCCATCTCCCCAAACCCACAGTGTGTGTGCACTGGGGTGCCTGTCAGTGAGTGTGTGTACATGGGGTACCTGTGTCAGAGTGTGTACTGGGGTGCCTGTGTCAGAGTGTGCACACGGGGTGCCTGTGTCAGTGTGTGCTCACTGGGGTGCCTGTGTCAGAGTGTGTACACGGGGTGCCTGTGTCAGAGTGTGTACACGGGGTGCCTGTGTCAGAGTGTGTACACGGGGTACCTGTGTCAGAGTGTGTACACGGGGTGCCTGTGTCAGAGTGTGTACACGGGGTGCCTGTGTCAGTGTGTGCTCACTGGGGTGCCTGTGTCAGAGTGTGTACACGGGGTGCCTGTGTCAGAGTGTGTACACGGGGTGCCTGTGTCAGTGAGTGTGTACTGGGGTACCTGTGTCAGAGTGTGTGCACAGGGTGCTTGTGTCAGTGTGTGTGTGCACGGGGTGCCTGTGTCAGAGTGTGTACACGGGGTGCTTGTGTCAGTGTGTGTGTGCACGGGGTGCCTGTGTCAGAGTGTGTACACGGGGTGCCTGTGTCAGTGTGTGCACTGACTGTGATCAGAGGGCCATTCTGATGAGAATTTTATGATGGAGACATTGTACATGTGAGTGATCAGGAGCACAGGAAAAATCCTCTCTCTCCACCCAGATCCCTTTTTACTATGAGCCCCCAAAACACTCTAGAACAACTGCATATCTCTCCCCCCCACCTCTCTCTCGTTAAAAACAGTTTAAAAGTAGAGACCTACCAACAGAACACCAGCAGCCCCTTCCCCAGTGCTCCTAAGGAGCCAGAGAGTACTCACGTTCTGCGATCTGCAGCACCGGGTAGCCCAGGTAAAAGCTGAACTCCACGACCGTCAGGTTCCTGAGCAGATCGCTCACCTCCGACCCGTTCAGGAAGCCTTGCACGCCTTTAACAGCAAAGATAATGTTCACCGGGCCCCTCCGAGGAGCCACCCGCGAAGAACCGATGGTGACATTCACAATCTGGAAGAGGGAGGTCAGAAAGCATAGCTAGAATAAGCCATGGGGCTGGGAGCCTGACTGTGAGAAGATCTGCCACGACTTCTCTGATCAATGCTCTTCACAGTGGTAAAGTGAAAAGATGTTTATTTTTTAATGACGGTGTCTCACTATACTGTCCTTGCCTCACAGTGGTGGGATTACAGGTGTGTGTCTCCAAGACTTGACCAAAAAGGAGGTAAAATTCTAAAAGAAGAGGCACTGGGCACTGGCTTTCTAAGCTTGTTCCTTTATTTATTTAATTTATTTTGGTGAGACTTTAAACACTGTTTACTGGAAATGTCTTCTCCATTAAGTGATGAATTGAATGCATGCATTCAATTCCCACCCCACCTCCAGCCCCAAATCCCCCCAAAACAACAGAAAGCCGAACGAAGGGCGATTAATCCACAACAGCTCTGGAAGAAAATCAGAGGTTCTGTCTAATCTCTACAAGATGAAGAAAGGACGGGACGGTGCTGAAATAAACCAGAAGCAAGAGAAGCAAGAGCCTAAACACACACAGGCAAAGGCTAAAACGGCCTTGTCTTAACCCCAGGGAGCTGGGGAGGCCCACGGGAGAAAGCTGAAGACCTAAGACCAGACAGGGTAGGAATCAGTCCAGTCAGTTAAGAGGAAGCAAGCCAAGAGTGAACTGACGTGAACTCACTCGTCTTGCCGAATACACACCCAGGCCAAGGCGGGCAGCATCAGTGCCATCTCCCCGAACAGCCCAAAGAACTGCCCTCTGAGGAAAGCGAGCCCCTCCCAGAGGAGACCAAAGGCCTCTCATGAGTTAAGACCTCCCCACAAGGAGGGCAGGAACAGATAACCCCAAGTACACCAGAGAACACAACACCCAAAGAGGAATAAAAAGGGAAAGACATGGGAAACACTCAGCAGGGCCCCGTCCCCAAAGGAGGGCCTCCTGAGCCTGAAACAGGGCAGGGCCAGTCTGCCTCTTACTCTCTGACCACAAGCTGTACAGTGCTGTAGGCAGAACCCACATTCTGGTATATTCTGATATAGTTCCCCAGCTCCCAGAGCTCAGCTGAACTCTCCCATCAGGAGACAGGGCTGTACAGTGCTGTAGGCAGAACCCACATTCTGGTATATTCTGATATAGTTCCCCAGCTCCCAGAGCTCAGCTGGACTCTCCCATCAGGAGACAGGACTGACACAGAGGTAACCTCCTCAAGGGGACAGCCAGGCCAACAGCCGTAACTAATTCTCCCTCCCTCCCTACCAACCAATGGCCCCTGAGACACAAAAAAGCAGATAGGCATATAGGACAATACTGCAGAGAAAACAGATATACAGGAAGGACATAGAATAAAACCTTTTAGAAATCCTCCTTAATGTCCTCAGAGACGCAGAAAGGCAACTTGCTAACATCTCGGCGAAGGACGAAATGAAAAAGGAACAAAGAACAATGAAGGGAAATGATTGGTCAGAAATTTCAGTGTGAATGGACACAGCTGAAGGCAAAATTAGTGACTCAGAGGACAGACGCTCCAAAATCTGACAGAACAAAAGTTCCTCACCACACGAAGGAAAACAGAGAGACACAAAAAGTGAATTCAGGAGTGCTAAATCTGGAGTATTAAAATATATTTCAGGAAGGGAATAGAGAAGGGGGGGGCATACCATAAAACATTAGCAGTTTGATTAGAATATATATGAAGCCAGTCTGGTGACCAGAAGAATCCTCTATGTTTAGGCCGGTTGTTCTCAACTTGTGGGTCCCGGCCCCTTTGGGAGTAAACTACCCCTGTTCACAGGGGTCACATATCAGATACTTACATTACAATTCATAACAGTAGCAAAGTGACCGTTCTGAAGTAGCAATGAAATAAATTTCATGGTTGGGGGTCACCACACATGAGGAACTGAATTAAAGGGTCAAAGCATTAGGGAAGTTGAGAGCCACTTGTTTAGATGGAGATGTGACGTCCCTAAGAGCCCCATTAACAGAGGTGGAGCATCTCAGGCAGGAAAGCTGAAACGCCCCAAAGTTCAAAACCTTCAGAGCACTGCCACTAATGCACAAAAAAAAAAAAAAAAAATCAATTCCTATTTTCAGTTTAGAGAAACCAGCTGTGCAAAATATTCCAAATAAATGCAAAAGCCCCATCATATGAGCGAATCCAGCACCAAGCCTTTCAGATCTAGGATCTGCAAACCGCTGGGAAAGGGAAGTGTACTCACGCATGACCTCGTTGACCAGACAGCTAAGATCATCCCTATGTGGAAACATTACTGAATTTCTTGCATACAACCTGTTCTTCAGCTCACCCTATCAGCCCCACTCTGAAATCTCTATTGTCAAGCTGTAGACTCGATACCTTACCAAAGGTCAGCGCTGGCTCACAGGAGCTGGGTTCCCATCACCAGAGGGCATACCCCCCCCCACCCATGTAGCTCTCTTTGCCCTGGAACTTGCACCAGGCTGGCCTTGAACTCACAGAGATCCACCTGCCTCTGCCTCCGAGAGCTGGGATGAAGGGCGTGTGGCACCCAGAATGGAGGATGCACTTTGAACGAAAGGCCTTGGCGGACAGGGCCCTCTGCCCTGCGGTCAGCAGCGCTCTCACCTGCACTGTGAGGTTATACGCCCCCTGGTGCTTCCTCACTTCAAAGAGAGCTGTCATCAGGCCCTTCTCGACGCTCTGGGTGAAGTTGCAGAAGCCAGTATCCACACTCGGAGGCACAAACTGCAGTACTGCAAAGAAAGACAGCGATCAAAGTCCCATGAACGAGGCGCCAGTTCGAGAGGAGACAGCACTAAACTGATCAACAAGGCCCCACTCTCTGAGATCTAGCACCACTGTGTATGGCTTCTTTTGTTTTTTAAGATTTACTTACTTAAAATACTAGGATTGAACACACACACAACTATCTTAATAAAATGCAGAAGGCTGTACTGAACAGACACTTGGGTATTCTGGCTCTAGGAATCCACAGGCATAGGAAAAGCTGTGTAACTGGCAGGCCAGTTAGGGATTTCTGGCCCGGAATGAAAACCCTGGTAAGGCCAAAAACTCTCTCCACAAATCCTGGTTGCAGTTACCTCCATCACCCAAACAGATGGTCAGAATTCTCATTTCTTTACTGACAAAAACATGGCCCTGACTATTTGAACATGAAAGTCTTAATTTCTAAAATGGAAATCAATGCCAAGAAAATTTTGCTTTCAACAAATTCCCTCAGAGTCAACTTTAATGGAAAAGATAATTATCAATAAGGTAAGATTTTAACATGGCACTGATAGATGGCTGTGAGCTACCATTGCTGGGAGCTGAACCCCAGTCCTCTGCAGGAGCAGCAAGCTCTTAACTGCTGAGCCATCTCTCTAGGCCCCAGTATTTTTCCTTAAGATCACCTTGTAAAACATCCTTTTTGTTCTTAGTTAATAGAGTAATTACGGTGAGTGACAGGAGTCTGTTTCTTTCTTCTGCATGTTTATGGTTAAACTTTAACATTTCAACACACACACAACGATGTCTCTGTTCCTCAGAAATTCATTATTTGTGTTGGGAATGTTCAAAATCGTCCCTCTGGCTATTTTGAAATATACAGCTGGCGGCTGGAGAGATGGCTCAGGAGTTAGAAGCATAAGTTGCTCTTCCAGAGAACCCAGTTGTAATTCCCAGAATCCACACAGCAGCTCACAAACATCTAACTTCAGTTCTGGTGAATCCAATGCCCCCTTCTGGCCTCTGAGGGCACTGCATACACATGGTGCACATACTTAAAATGAAGGTTATTTAAGATTAAGAATACAGCTAATGGTTGTTGAGCACATTTCCGTTACTACATCACAGACACAAGGTCACTTCTGCCCAGCTGCATGCAAGGGAGGGGGTGTCAGCATCTCACACTCTATCCTTCCTCCCCATCCTGTCTGGAAATCACTTGCACACCGGCTTCCAGATCTGCTTCCACAAGGTAAAACAAAATGTGTGGTATGGGGCTTTTTGTTTCTGACAGTTCACTTAGTATAACAACCCCCAGTTCCATCCATGCAAACTGAAGGATTTTTTTCTTTGTGGCAGAATGATATTCCATTACGTACATACACCACATTTCTTCATCTACTCATCTGTCAATGAACACATGGGTTGATTGCCTATCTTCCTTTCTGTAAATACAGGAGCAAAAAGACACAGTGGAGCTCTTTCTCCAATATACTACCTTCAGTGTGTGTGTGTGTGTGTGTGTGTGTGTGTGTGTGTGTGTATGGGCCATACAGTAAACTTCTAGCTTTTTATAATGTCTGTATAATCAACATTACATGACAGGGTGAAAGTAAGACAATCTAAGCTATAAAGCAAGACCTTGTCTTCAAAAACAACAAAACAAAAAAAGTGAACACTGGAGAGATAGCCCAGCAGTCAACAAAAAGTCTTATTGCTCTTGCAGAGGACCTGGGTTCAGGCCTTAGAACCCACAGCAGGTGGCTCACAACATCCTTAACTCCAGATCCAGGGGATCTGATGCCCTCTGGCCACTGCGGTGCACATAAACTCATTGCAAACATACACACACAATAAAACAAACAAATGCATAAATAAACAAATCAGGGCCAGTCAGATGGCTCAATGGGTAAAAGCACTTTCCATCAACCCTGATGACCTGAGTTCGATCTCAGGAAACCACATGGTAACAGAATCTACTCCCACAAATGTTCCTCTAATCTCCATGTGCATGTGTGCACACATACTTAATAAACAAATGCATGCACACACACGGGCGTGCACACACACAAACAAAGCCTAGCATATGTGAACTTACCTTTCTCTGTGACCTCATCAGCACAGGCTAATACTGTCTTTTGGTTAAGTTGTTCTCTGGTAAGAGCATAGATCTCAGTTTTGTTTTGTTTTGTTCCAAGACAGGTTTCTCTATATAACCACCCTGGCTGCCCTGGAACTCAACCTGCCTCTGCCTCCCGGAGTGCTGGGATTAAAAGCATGTGCCACCACTGCCTGGTTCATAGTTTTGATGTACATTTCCCTGATTAGTAGTGCTAGGCTTTTTTTCCCCTATTATATTGGCCATTTGCATATCTTGCTTTGAAAAATGTTTATTCTGGCCATTTCCCATTGAGTGCAGGAGGGGTACACCATCTATACACATGCACATGGATGCCAGAGGCCAATGTCAGGTGTCCTTCCCAACTGCTCTACACCTTATTCTTGAGACTTGGTCTCCCACTGAATCTGGACCTTGCTGATTTAACCAGACTGGCTGGTTAGCGAGCCCCACGGATGCTCCTTTACCAGTCTTCCAGGGGCTGGCGTCACAGGGCTTTCTACGCAGCTTCCCCATTAGTGCTGAGGGTCAAACTCGGGTCTTCATGTCTTCATGTCTGCATGGCAAGCTCTTTACAACTAACGCCATCTGCTTAACCTGCCAGCTCTAAATTAGATTACTTAAGGGGTTTGCTGCTCGGTGGTTTGATTTCCCTGTGGATTCTGGAAATGGATACCTTGCATTCTCTCCATTCTGCAGGCTGTCTCTTCATTCTGGTCACCATTCCTGCTGCTGTACAGAAGACTTACTAATGTGAACCTATTTGTCAGTTTTTGCTTTGGGTACCTATATTTTTGTGGTCATATCCTCTCCCCCCCCCCCAAAATATCCTAAAAACATTTCTTCAGCGTCTCCTATCAGTTTTACAGTTTAAGATCTTACATTTTGGTCTCAATTTTAAGGACTTTTTTTTTTTAGTATGGGGGGGGGTGTCTAGTTTTTTTCTCCTCCATAAAGACATCCAGTTTCCCAGTATGGTTTCCTAAAGACGCTATACTTCCTCCAATATATGTTCTTGTTGTTTCTGTCAAAACTCTGTTTCCGTACTTTCTGTTTTGTTGGTCTCCATGTCTGCTCTTCGGCAACGCCATGACAGTTTGGTTATTATCACTTTGTAACATAGTTTGAGATCTCTTACTATGACTCCAGCGTTCCTTTTGTTCTCTTCGGGGGTTTGGTTTTGGTTTGGTTTGGTTTCCATTCAAATTGCAGAAGTCCTCCCACTTCTACCCATGAGGAATGCCATCAGCCCTCCCCCTATACCCATGAGGAATGCCACCAGCCCTCCCCCCATACCCATGAGGCCTGTCCTTAGCCCTCCCTCCCCCTTATACCTGTGAGGAATGTCATTAGTACTCTCAGAGGAACTGCAACGAATCTACAGATCACTTGGTAGTATAGACATTTTTCTTTTACATTTTCTTCTTTTACTTCTTTTCCAGGTAATCCATCAATATCTTTTTCCTTACGATCTACTGTTAGAAGTTACTGTGTTCCCTTAAAGGTACCACACTGTCTTGTTCTTTCGTCTACCTTGTGTCTCTATATTAATATTTGCATGCCTGCTGGATTCATTGCCTCTATCATTTTAAAAATATGCCTTATTTTTAATATGTGCAAATAGTGTGCAGGTGTCTGTGGAGGCCGGAAGAGGGCATTAGATACCTCGGAGCTAGAGCACAGTAGACACGAGCCACACATTTGCTGGGAACCAAATTCAGATTCTCTGTAAGAGCAGTGGACACTCACAACTGCGAGCCATCTCTCCAGCACGACCTCTGTCACCTTTATGGGATGGCTTTCACAAGAAAAGACTTCTTCCTGGGTCCTACAGTGCCAGCTGGAAACATGCCGCTCTGCTCCCAGGCAGTGTCTGCAAAACTCCTGCACCCACAGTCAACATAGGCTGCGTCCCCAAGTGTCCTAATGACCTAGGCTGCAGAAGCAATGAGACTGCAGCACTAACTGTAGGGTGCACCTCAGTTTCCACACCCCACTGGGTCGAGGTGGGTATGCCCCAACATTCCCGATAATAAGGCAAGGTGACTCTCAAGGTCTGAGGGAGGCGGGAAGCTCTGGTGGGATGAGGGTTACAAATTGGATTTACTTTGAGGGAGTCTCTGGGGGGCGAAGCTGCTTAAGGTGGGCTACAAGGTGTTTCCCAGGGTCACAAAGCAGGATTCTGCTCTGCAGAGACTCGGTGGGCCAAGTTCCTGAGATGAGGTTCCTCAACTGCTTATTCAGGATGATGCTGACTCGTTGATTCCTGGAGCCAAGGATGAATTATATTACTTCTAAGTTTCACCTCAGAGAAATATAGAAAGCCAACATTTGGTCAGGCGGTGATAGCAAACACCTTTAATCCTAGCACTTGGAAGGCAGAGGCAGGTGGAACTCAGTGAGTTCAAGGCTAGTCTGGTCTACCAAGTAAGTTCCACGACAGCCAGGACTGTTAGACAGAGAAACCCTGTCTCCAAAACCAAAAAACAAACAAACAAAAAACCCAAAATAACAAAAGCCAGCTTTTTTTTTACCACATGAACACATGCAGTGTGAAAGTGAATGGCAAGCCTTTGGGCTTAGTGACTCAGGAGGCTAAGACAGAAAAATCACTGGGGACCAGGAGTTCAAGTCTAGTTAAAAATCTACACATTAGAAGATGTAACTTATAAACCATTCAAATATATAATATTTATTACAGATGGATTACTAAGTACATGGAGACAGAATACAACGACATTTGGTATCACATGAAAACATTTTTTGTGTGTTTAGCTTTTGAGACAGGGTTTCTCTGTAACCAACCCTGGCTGTCCTGGAACTCACTTTGTAGACCAGACTGGCCTCCAACTCATAGAGATCCGTCTGCCTCTGACTTCTAAGTCCTCGGATTAAAGGCGTGTGCTACCACCACCCAACTCCTTAAAACATTCTTGCATCTTCAAAAGAGTTTTACCAATTTTGCTTGAAAACTGGTAAAGAGAAAAAATCTTGATTATTTTTTAAGCTTATTAATAAACGTGTATGAACTTCATGCTGTGTATTCTGGTTTCATACATGACTGAAAGTGCCCATAGTAAAAGGTTAAATACGGCAATAAGCGATTACTGTTAACTTTAGGGGTGATGATATGGACGGATGTGTATCTGGGTTGAATAGCCCTCTTGTAGAGGTACAGGCTGAAACACGTGAGTGAAATTTTATGGTCTTTTAAGATTTACTACAAAATAATGTAAGGAGAAGTGAATGGGAGCGAAGGTAATAAAAGTTTGACTAAGAATTGAAAATTGTTATGATTGAGGAGATGGTTCAGTCAATAAGGCCTCACAAACATGAGGATTTGAGATCCATCCCCAGAACCCACATGAAAAAAAGCCAGCTGTGTTATCACAGCGCCAGGGTGGCTGAGCCCAACAGATCCCCAGCTGGACAGCACCATGCACTAGATCCTTAGTCATACTCTGGTTCCTTGTGCCTATGCACACATACACACGTACACACTCATGCGCACACTCACGCACACACCTTTAGACATGTGTACTCGCTTACACACGCACACACACGAAAACAAAAAGGAACTAAAAGTTCTGTATAATGGCACATGTGAATTCATTAAACCGTTTTCTGTACCTTTGTATATGTTTGGTTTTTTTCATAAACACAAAGCTATTGTCGGCCCAGGTGCAATAGCCCATGAATGACATCATAGCTACTCAGAAGGCCACATCAGAGATTTGCTTAAAGCCAGAAGCACGAGTCCAATAAATTAATGGATATTCTTAAAACAATACCCAATTTAAAAATTATTTAAGATTTTGTTTTATGTGCATGGGTGATTTGCCCTCATGTGCCTATGTACTACATGTGTGCCCCTTCCTCACATTTATTGCATGTGTATGCGCATGCACAGGCACACACGCAAGTAGAGATCAAAGTACAACCTACAGGATTCGGTTCCCTCCTTCCGACCATGTGGGTTCCAGAGATCACATTCAGGTCTTCCTTCATCTGCTGAGCCATCTCACCGGGACAGAACCCCCAATTTTAAGTAGATATATAATTAAAATAAATTCTACACACAAACCCAAGCATCTATATTCAGTTGTCTCACCTGTTTGAACTTGGAACCTGGGCTCTGGCACGAGGAAAGACGGCTTCACAGACAGGATTAAAGGAGTTTGGTCACGCACAAGTTTGCTATTGATGAGGACATTAATGACTGATATTGCCGTGTAAATAAAAGGACCAGATGTTACCAGAAAAGTGAAGTCTGTGAACAGTTCATAGACCTAGAGAAATAGAAGAGTTTAAAAAGACAGTTCAAACGTAAAGAAAACTGTTGGAGAGAAAAATATAATAAGTAAAACAATATATATGTATATCAGTATCAGCAACTTAACTGGGAGGATAAACACTTCGAAGATAGGCGAGATTTTATTTTGCACATTCCTTTTACCTTTGCCCAACTCTCACGAAAACGGCACAGAAGTACAGGAGCAGCAAGAGAGGGCAGACAGCCAGCAACATGGGCTGAAAGGTGAGTTGTGGAAAAACCAGGACTTTGGTCATGTTTACGCCACACAGTTGTTCCCTAGAGCCTCGCTGTTTAAAACAACACAGTGACGGCCACCTGAGCGACTCTGAAGTCTGTGACGGCCACAGTAGAAGCAGAGGGATGGGGGAAGCTAATTTCAAATACATTTCACTTAATGTGGGAAACAGCATTCTGGGGTGTGGTCGATACCAGAGTTAGTGAGACAGTCTGCGCCCTCTATCTGCTGCAGGTCTGAGCTCCCGCACGCAGTCCACACCCACCGTGCATCTTATTAGTTCAGCCGGGCCCATTTCACAAGCTCCATGGCCAGCATGGCTCATAGTCATGGCTCTGCTTAGCCACGGGGAGGATTAGTAGACCACGGCTTTCTGTAAGGCTCACATGGGTGGATGCAATGCAAAGTGTGGAAATCCATCTCAGTCACACTGAATGCACAGAAAGACACAAATGGACTCGCTCTGAAACCTAACCTAAGCCCAACTCATTTCATTAAAGTAACAGGGACAGCAAGACTGGTAAGGTCGCCCCAAACTATGCTGCCTCTGGTCTGAGAGCGGAGAAGCTGAGGAAACTGTATGCCCAGAGAGGAGTGAGAGAGAGAATTCAAAGACAGAGCCCACGGCACTTACCCACACCCTACGAGACCCCACAAGCATGTCAGACCTGACTCCCAGGCTCGGGGCTCACCTTCAGTTCCACCGCACGGTTGAAGTGAATCCTCAACACTTCTTTGATTGATGTAATGATATACTCCTGCACAGCTCGCCTGGCCAGCACTAGAAACGAGAGTCAACCAGCAGATGCATTTTAGTGCTACTAGGAAGCATGAAGCTGTCACTTCAGGAAGCCACAGCTGAGGCGAAGCACGCTAGCGGCTTGTTTTGAAACATAAGGCCCAGACTAGGACAGAGTAGAAATGTCTACGTGAAGTATTATAGGAAACAGAAAAACCGGGCACAGCGTCGGCCTGACACGCTGAGAAGGTTGGTGGGCGGGACGGGAGAGCAGCAACTGTGGCCCACTCGGGACAGGAGCTTCCACTTCCCACTTTCTTCTCAACAAGTAGTAGAATTCCTCCAGCTATGCACCCAACGGCAAAAGTTGAGGCTTTAAAAGCTCTCAGAAGTAATATTTTTAAAATCATTAAGTTGCTAACAACTAGCGATACCATCCTCCACAGGAGGAGGACAGCTGCACCGAGTGTTCCAAGAAGCTGCTGGGGAGTGCTAACCACTACTGATGGGAGCGAATTTCTTGATAATGTCCACCTAGTAACATTTTATATGGGAAATAAAGTAGTTTTCATTCCAAAGTCTATTTCTTTCTATTCGTTTTTCACACAAAAGTCCAATTTGAAAATCTGAACCAGGGCTGCAGAGCTGACTCTGTGGTTTGGAGTGCACACTCGAGGAGGACCCAGGCTGATCCCCAGCACCTACATCAGGCAGCTCACCATCTCCAAGGCTGCAGTTTAAATCCATCTCCTGGCCTGCAAACAGGCCTGCAAACACACACATCTCTAAAAATAATAAATATAAATCTGTGACAGCAAGTATGCCTGTCTGCCAGTAAACCTTCCCTTCTATCCCATAATGCTTCTCCTTCCCCCTCCATTCTATATGCACAATTATATTTAGTGTTGTTATTCTTATTTTGATTTTATTCATGTACATGTGTGTCTGTGGATTGCATATAGGCGCAGGTGATTGTGGAGAATGGTAGAAGCTGGTCAGATCCCCTGGAGTTAGAATTACAGGTAGTTGTGGGGCATCCGTCATGGGTGCTGGGGCTCAAACTCTGGTCCTCTGCAAGAGCAGCACACTCTTTTAACCACCGAGCCATCTCTCTAGTGATTATCCTATCTTAGATTATTAAAACTTGAGACAGAACCAGCCCTCATTCGTTCATTATAAAAACAAACGCTTAGGCTCTGTGGTTGTTTCTCTAGTAACTCGGTGGCTCGTGGTGAGAAGGCGGGGAGCGTCACCTGCTCAGTTCTTTAGTTCCCAAACCATTACAACAAATCCACGGCCCCTGTCTGCCTACCTTGGCTGATCCCACCAACAGCCAGCTGGCATGGCCTGCCAGGTTCTGAGTGGCCAAGACTATGCCATGAATGACACACTGGAAAACGAAATGAGTAGGAAGGGAATGAGGGAGGGGGAGGGAAGCAGGAGGAGCCAAACTCAGGGAGAGTGAGGCCTAATAGAAAACCAAAGGCAGAACTACTCAAGAGAGACAGGAGGTGCATGCTACGAGTAGCCCCGTGTAGCTAAGGGAAACACTCAGGATAGCTACGTGCTACTCAAGGGCCCCACTGCCCGCCACACATTACCACCTTCTCTGGTTAAACTGAGGAAGTCAGGACACCGCCACCTTGGACATGGGGACCTGAGTCTGGGAAACAGGAACCATCCAGAAACACGAATCATACACATTGTTTCCCGGTTCTCTACGGTTTCTCCAAGGCCAAGAGAAGAGAGGTGTAGAGACTGTCAAAGAGGTCTGGCTCCCCTCAGTGGTTCCCAGCATCTCCCTCCGAGCCATCAACACCCTTCATGTGATTCTGCAATACTATTATGGAGCTCCACAAAAAAACAAAACAAAACACTTTGTCTAGACTCTCTCCCTAGCAGACAGCTGCTACCAATAAGAGAAAAGCCGATATTAAAAATTAAACAAGAATGTGTTTTGCTTCATGACATTTATGCATATGCTGGGCATTGAGTTCCAAAGCCAAAGATACAACCAGAAGTTCCACAGCCCACTTAAATCTTTATTGTTCGTATGGTAGTTACTAATACTCAGTGCTGTGCAGCTATTTCCTAGCTGTTACATATTTTATACATCTAAATCCTTACAGTAACCTAAGGAGCCCACGGTCCTTGATGACACTCAGGAAAGCAGATCAAGAGACGAAGGGACTGGATGGCTAGCAGGAGGCCGGCCGAGGAAGAGGACGGCTACCCGCAGGTCATGTGAGACCGACACCTACTCTCACAACACGATAGCGTCTCATAAACACTGCACACAAACACCTTAGAGAGGTCCCCTACCTCAGAGAGGTGACTGGAAGCAGGGCCTTACCAGTTGTGATCAAATAGGCATCGGGAACTGTAATATCACACACATATGGCGGCTTGGCTGTGGCCAGTACTGGTGTACCAACTGTGGCTTCGAGCGTGGAGGTGGTCACAGGACCGAGGGAGGGCTGGGGAGGGGGTGCACTGTTCCCCGGAGGGTTCTGACTCATAGGCTCGCTGTTCAGAGCAGAGTCCACGGTATCACCAGGGGCAGTGCTGATGGGGGGCATGCTTGGTTCCGGGGAGGTACTTGGTTCTGGGGAGGTATTGGGTGGTAAATCTGTGGGTGTCGATGATGAGCCCATGACTGGCTTTGTGGGCAGAGGTGAAGGGTTGACTTCAGGAGCAAGTGATGGGGTGGTTGACGGGTATACGTTAGAGGCTGACTCTGTGCTGGCCGGAATGGCACTGGAGGATATGGGTGAGACAGATGTGTGATGGTCTGTCACGCCCACACTGCCGTCAGAAGGCGTCAGCGTCGAGAATGGAGATGACTCGGTTAAAATGGGTGTCAAATGGAAACCAGCTGGCAGTGATGAGAGGTGAGTCCCAGCAGTTGAGATGCTAAGGGGGGTCTCGGAGCTGGAGGGCACCAGTGTGCTGACTGAGGATTCATGGGGAATGAGTGAAAATTCAGAGACAGAGGTAGCTTCAGAGAAAGCGGAGGAGAGATGAGCGTCGGACTGGACCAGGGAAACTCTCCACGCTTCGGCGAACTTGAGAGAATCAGAGGGGGAGCTTGAAAGCGGGGGCATTTCGGAGTGCCTAGGAAAGAGAGTGACTGTCTTCACGAGGAGGTCTGAACTGGACCAAGGTTGAGATGGCTCTAGGCTCGTGGGGTTAGAAACAAAAAGCTGAGGGGACTGTAAACTGATAAAGCTGGACAATGAAAATGTCTCAGCTGTGGTGGGGAAAGGCTGAGAAAGGAAGGTTGATGGATCGCTTGACGTCAGGGATGGAAAAGCAAGAACATCTGACCGTGAAGGGGCCGGAGTGCTGAAGTCCAGGACTGGAGTTGAGTAAAAGCTGGATGTGGAATCCAAAAGACTTCCAGACTCGAGTTCCAAAAAGCTGGTCGGTTCGAGGTCAGCAGAAACTTTAGACTCTACTGAGGAGACGAAACTGGAGGAGGTGAGAAGGCTTAGGTGTCCAGCTGGGAGGGATGGCGTAGTTTGAGCTGCTGTCAAAGAGAAAGATGAGTCAAAAGGGACGCTGGGGATGACTGAGGACGACAGATGGGTCACGCTGGATGGCATCGCTAGCTCGTTGGTGACGGAGAGGCCAAAAGTGGAATCAAGTGAGCTTGGTGTGGAGAGGAGGCCGTGGGAAGAGTACACCTGGGTGGTGGTGATGCCGCTCATATCCACCCCAGGTGACATATCCACGCTGACTTTCCAGAACCCCACAGATCTGGAAGAAAGGGAGACGACAGGTCTGGAAGGGAAAAGAGTATCAAATACTTGAATATCTTCAAGTTCAGAGAGGTCTGTGCCCATGCTACTCGATGGAGAGAGATGGCTTACTTCCACCGAGGCCATAGACAGAGTCTCAAGCCCGTCCCCTGATCCCATGTCCTTCTCCGTAAGGCTCCTGGCCAGAGCTTGCTGAGGTGATGAGACAGCACAGGACACACACCAGGTATGTGGTCTCAAGGATGACTCAGGGTTGAGGACATGGGGATGGTCAGTAAAGCTGGGGACTGCGGAGCTGCGTGGTGGTTCTGAGGTTTCCCCAGCCCTGCTAGAGAAGAAGGGGTTATCCGAAATGCCGGCTGACTGGGTAGCAAAAGACACAGATGACAGCGGGGTTGAAAACAACGCAGAAGGTGGGCTGATAAAAACAGGGTCTGTAGCTGACATGGTTGCACTGGGGAGTGTTCTTAGCGAGATGGCTTCTTCTAGATGTTTACTCCAAGCAGTGGTCCCATTAGGGTATCTGTCTGTGCTTGTGGCCAGGACACCCAGGAGAGGCTGTGACGCCTCCCACAGGGGAACAGATGGCTGCTGAGTCACGCCACCACCGACCGGCTGAGACACTGAAATCCAGGAGCTGGAAAGGAGGTCTTCTGCGCCCTCGGTTATGGAAGCTACAATCTCTGGCAAAGCCTTGCTCGATAACTGGCTGTGAGCTTCCGTAGGATGAAGCACCAAACTCCTACTAGGAGTTGGAATGATGCCCTCAGATGTGAGAAAAGCTGGCCAGGAAGAGCTGAAATCACTGGCGGACTCAACGTGCGCAGTTGCCTGTTGCGCTGTGTTCTGACATGCGGACAGCATTTCATCCTGCAAAGAAATCCTGGGTAGCGACGGAGTCACCCCAGGCTCTGGCATGTCCCGGGGAGGCTCCAGCGGGCTCGGTGTGACAGACTGCGTTGGGGAAAGCACCCGTGAAGAGGTCCAGGGATCATCTGGCAGAAAGTTATCCATCTCATCATCATCATCAACCGCCACCTCGTTACTCGGCACGGATCCATAATGTGCCCCGAAGACGCTGTGCTCTGTTGTACTTTGAGTCTGATGTCTGTGATTTAAAAAGGCTGTATCAAAAGTGGGAGCAGATGCAGAGGGTAGGGCAAGGGCAGGGATGCTTGGCTGGGACCCTGGAGTCTCTGGTAAGGCCACATGTGCAGAGCTGGGCATGATGCTTGTCTCCGGCAGGAGCTCCTCGGGACTTAGAGAAGGGTTGTGCTGTTCCAGGGAGAGCTCATCTAGCGAGAGAAGCAAAGTTGAGTTAGCGGCCATTCAAGAGTCAGAGTGTGAACACCTCACTTCGGTTGTAAAGAACCACTCATCCAGAAAATACCCATTCACTAGGGCTGGAGAGGTGGCTTGGTGGCATTCAGTTTCCAGCACATGTGGCAACTGACAACCTTCTGTAACTCCAGTTCCTGGAGATCCAGCACCCTCTTCTCGTCTCTGCAGATACCAGACACGTAAAATAATGCAAAGAAAAATTCATACACATAAAATAAAAATACATATAAAAATATCCATTCGGTATTAATAGCCACAATTTGTAGAAATTCTAGTTGGAAGCTAGACAGTGCCAAAAGCGGCACTGCGGTAATCTACACAAAGAGTCACGTGGTGGTTCTGAGGTTTCCCCAGCCCTGCTAGAGAGGAAGCTTCCTTCACTTAAGTCTGCATGCGTGGACACACACCCACGCACCTGAGCACTTCCTTAAGTCCGCATGTGTGGACACACACCCACGCACCTGAGCACTTCCTTAAGTCTGCATGTGTGGACACACACCCACGCACCTGAGCACTTCCTTAAGTCTGCATGTGTGGACACACACCCACGCACCTGAGCACTTCCTTAAGTCCGCATGTGTGGACACACACCCACGCACCTGAGCACTTCCTTAAGTCTGCATGTGTGGACACATACCCACGCACCAGAACACTTCCTTCACTTAAGTCTGCATGTGTGGACCCATATCCACGCACCTTACTTCATACAATCATACACACAAAGCCATGTGCCCCAAACGTGTGTGAAATGGTGCAGATAATCTTTAATCCATTCTATTTTACGAGTGGCATCTTAGTAAGGAGGGAAATGTGGATACACACGTACAGGCGAGAGAGCGTGCAAACATGGGAGTACATCAGGGTGGTGTAGCCCAAGATCAGAGATTGCCTGCCAATCATCGGGAGCCGGGAGTAGATTCTTCTTCACAGCCTTCAGAGACAATCAACTGTGCCATCTGACAAGCTGACCTTGGATTTCCACACTTCAGAAAGGAGATAGCAAATTTCTATCCTTTACGCCCCAAATGAAACTGTCTACCGCAACTCAGACTCTTTGTATCAATCATGTAAAACATGTCCCCAGGTTTAGAACCTACATCATTTCTATGGTCCTAGTAAACTGCTTAGGAGTCCTAATTGAAGACAGGCCAGGTCTTCACTGTCTGTCAGATAGTAACATCCATTTTCCTCGGGCTAGGCACGGGGATCACATGCATGTTGCCATGGTCACTAGGGCACCTGTGGCAAGGGGATCACTTGAACTAATCAATTTGAAGGCAGCCTAGCAACATAGTGAGATCATCTTTTGTTTGTTTGTTTGTTTTCGAGACAGAATTTCTCTGCGAAACAGTCCTAGCTGTCCTGTAACTAGCTCTTGTAGATCAGGCTGGCCTCAAACTCAGAGATCCACCCGCCTCTGCCTCCTGAGTGCTGGGATTAAAGGTGTGTGCCACCTACTGCCCAGCGTGAGACCGTTTCTTAAAAGGAAAACACACAAAAAATGTGATCAGAAAAGCACACTGTCACACCACATAGCAAATACTTCCCTCAGCTACAGATCAAATAAATGTGAGCACAAAAATAAAAATTATGAAACACACAGGGAAATAGAGTGCCATTAAAAGGCCGAGAGGGAAGCCAGGCATGGGAGCCCACACCTTCAACACCAGTGGTCAGGAGGCAGAGCCAGAATAGATCTCTGTGTTCAAGGACAGCCTGGTCTACATGGTAACTTCCAGGACACCCAGACCTACATAGTAAGATCCTGCCTCAAAAATCAGACAAACAAATAAAAAAAGACTGAGAAAACACCCAAAGACAAGGAAAATCACAAGCAGAGCCAGAAAAAAACAGATGATTGGCAGTAAAAGATCAGACAGCCACTTCGCAGAAGCCAGACTACAATGGAACAGAACCTTCAAAGTCATAGTGGGAGAAAATATCTGGTGCTTTAGATCTGCATAACCATTAAATCTCTGTATCAAAAAGACACACAAGGGGATGGAGGTAACGTGCAGGGGCCGATATGACAACCTGAGTTCCATTCCCAGCATCCATGTGAAAAGCCAGGTATGGCGGCACACACTTGCAATGCCTACTCTGGAGAGCAGAGGCGGGAGGATCCCTGGATCCCACTGGCAAACAGACTAACTTGTTAAGTTTCGGGCTAGTGAGAGACCCCGTCTCAGAAAGTGAGGTTGGGCCAGCAAGATAGCTCAGCAGATAAAGGTGCTTGCCTTGAAAGCCTGGTGCCCTAAATTTGATCCCTAGGACCCACATAGAGGTGGGAGGAAAGATTCGACCCCACATAGATGTGCTCTGACTCCCCCACGTGTGCTGTAAAACACGCATGCACACACGTGTCATAAACACACGCTAATAATAACAACCATCTATTTCTTTTAAGTAAATCTCTTTTGGTGGGGGGGAGTAGATGGCTTCTGAGGGACAGCACCTGAGGTCATCCTCTGGCCTCCACAGACACACACGCACACACCTGCACACACACAAGAAAATACATAAATAGTAACAAGGGGTGGTTGTGCCAATTAAAGAACCTAGGTAAAGAGCCCCGGAACAAGTATATCCTTCAGGAAGGAACGTTATTACCCCTGGCAAACAAGGGGTGGCGGTGCACGTTCACAATAACGCAGCCGCGTAACCAGGGCAAACAAGGGGCAGCCGCGTAACCAGGGCAAACAAGAGGAGGCAGTGCACATTCACAATAATGCAGCCACGTAACCAGGGCAAACAAGGGGCAGCCGCGTAACCAGGGCAAACAAGGGGCAGCCGCGTAACCAGGGCAAACAAGGGGTGGCGGTGCACGTTCACAATAACACAGCAGCCGCGTAACCAGGGCAAACAAGGGGTGGCGGTACACGTTCACAATAACGCAGCCGCGTAGCCAGTACAAATGGAGGAGTTGGAGGAAGACTTTTTAAAAAGCATACATTTAAAAGATTATAAAATTCTATCTGTGTTCACACACATTTGAAAGCTTGCCTAAGAATAAAGAATGTATATGTCTGTTTTAAACTCTGCTATGAGGGCAGGAGACATGGCTCTGAGGTTAGGAGAGCTGGCTGCTCTTCCAGAGGACCTGGGTTTGTCCCCAGCACCCACACAGCGGCTCCCAACCATCTGTAACTCCAGTTCCAGCGAATCTGACTCCTCTTCTGACCTCCGAAGATTCCTGCACACACGTGGTAAAAAGACATACAAACCAGACACGTACACATAATAGTATTTTTTAAAATAATAACAATACTCTGCTATAATGTGTTTAAAATTTAAGAGCCAAACAGAGGACAAGATCCCTTCTAAAATGAGTCAGAAACACCTTCGTGTGAACCAGAAGGATGCAAGAGTTAAAATACAAAGAGCCTTGTTCGGTGGCTGGTTTATGACCCCAAAGATCTGCCGCAAATTAAAATTAAAGAGCAGGGATGAGGAAAGGCAAAATGGTCAAAAAGATTAAAAATAAACCTCAAAGTCCCCAACTGAAAAAGAGCAGGCACAAAAAAAACTCTGCACTGAGGACTGGAAGGTGCCAACCCAGGAGGTCTATTCTCTCTGCCAAGCCCTGGGGGAGAGTCACCGGCTCCGATGAGGCGGCAGCTGCAAAGCCATGGGGAATTACCTCTAGTTAATTCAGGAAGAGGTTAGAAATCCCAGGTGAGCCTCTCTCTCCACATAAGAGGCATCAGGGACTCTCATTTCAAGCCCTAGAGATCAGTTTTCAGGCTGTAAAGCTTTAGATCCCCCAAAAGTGAAAGGGTTTTTCTCTCCGATGACAGAGAAAGGGAAAGGGGCTGGGGAGAGGAGCTGCTTCTCAGGCAGTGCCGTGGGCGCGCAAGCAACGTGAGCGTGCAAATGACGCAGGGGTCTTGTGGAAAGAGCAGCCGCCGCCAGCAACTGGGCAGTACCTGCTTCTCTCCCCACTGACCCAGGTCTGAGAGCTCACCCCCAGGGGCCAGTGTGGAGGCACTTTCTCCGCACGTCATCTTCACTGGGTGCCCACTTGGCCGTGCTGGCTCTTCTGGGCCAGAAACTGCCATAGACCCTCTCCTCCACGCCAAGTCTGTTCACAAAGATTAAAAATTAGCGACAGAGACACCCAACTGTCTGCCTGAGGTTCACACAGACAAAACAATGTGGCATTCTGAGATACGCTTTGAAGTCATTTTATGCTATTTTCAAAGTCTTTTCTAACTGTAGCAGAACATCGAGGAATCATGGACTCTTCGTGCCAAATGGATCCCTTTAAGAACTCAGCCAGTCCCCACCTGTCACAATGAGGCTTACGGGGTTTATGTTACCGTGCTGAAAACACCCCCACCTGCAGGTGTACGTGTTTGGGGGGCTAGAAAGGCAGTCATGTAGTCTTCCCACCTCACCATGTTTTACCAGTCCATTTTACCAAAACAGTTGATAAGAAAAGCTGAAAACATGTCGGACTATGTTGTTGTGTTAAAACTGAGCCGAAAGTACAGGACAGATCTGGCTACCAGAAAGACGCCTGTCTGAGACTGAGTCCCACTGCCGAACTACGGACACCTCCAGGCCACAGGCCTGAGTGCTGACAAAAAAAGACATACTCTCTGAGTTGGCCTGGGTACTACAGGGTCACCCATCTCTAAAGAGCTTTAATCCAAATGGAACTATTATTCTTGCTGCTTTGCTAAACCGTGTAGTTTTCAAAACACGATGACTCATCTCAACTCGCTGAGGATATTCAATCTACAAAACAAAGCAAGCCCCCATTGACGCCTAAGACTTAAAACACAAAAGCAGTCGGATCAGCTGTTAAGCAACTTGGCAAATCTTCACCGTTTTTTCTCCTAGTTCTCAGGACATCCTGAGGAAGGTTTCCAGGGCCACCCCCCACCTTTCATCTTTTCCTTCATTTACAAAACGGCACCTTCCTTGTCTTTCCCATTGCCAGTGTGAACCA